GACATTGAGACTGCATGGGAGGCATGAAGCACTGGCCTTAACCAGGGCTTACGAAGGGTCTGTTCCCTGACACCCACCAAAGCCTGCTGCCCAGTGCTAGGCAAAGGGAATATTCCGAAAAGCCAACTTTAGGTCTGTGCTAAGTGTTTCAATCTCTTCTGCAGATGGATTTTCTTGTTCATACTGGTATGCCAGCTGGTGTTGTTAGTATTCTAGTCTTGTTTGGGACGCCATCTTGTTGACATTTTATGGGTGTATTTTCCCTGTCATCCCTGGGGATACAACCTAACAACAGGCATCCTAGTTCTTTACATCTTACATGTCTATCCATCTCCACTTCCTCAATTTCCCCCAAGTCTTGGGGGTAGGCGTTGCATTGTGGATGTATTAGTTGGGTTTGGATTCCAAAAAAATCACTTACCTTCTGTATTTTGACCAGATGTAGATTTCTGCATTAGTCTCTATTGTTTTTTTTTTTTTTTTAAAAAAAAAAAAAAAAAAAAAAAGCTGCTTTGATGAGGAATGAAAGCTACCCTTATCTGTAGGTGTAAGTGTTTAGAATACAGTAAGGAATTATACTGGTTTAAGAAAATGGCAGTTAGGTTGTCCTCTCAGATCTAAGGCCTCTCCAGCCATGGGGAGCTGGTTGGGTTTACAGTACTAGACATGAATTCTCTCCTATTGAGCAGGCCTTAAGTCCAAGAAACAAGTGCCACTCTTACACCATTGCTCCTTCCCTTGACAGCTTGCTTAGGACATCCAGAAAGCTAGTCCCTAGTAAGATGGCTCTCTGATCAGTTGCAGCTTGATTCCTCCATGTCCTGAGTCCTGGGTGTGTGGTATCTTCGGCAGTAAGGTCTTACTACAAGTTCTTGAGGGCAACCAAAGGCAGTGGCTCTAGCCATGTTGTTTTCGGGGATAGTCATGTATTCTCAACCAATAACTGGAAAGGCAGGGAGGCTTTTCGTACCTGGCACTGGGGTTTTTACTTGATAGTGTATGACTTTATCACTCCATGTTGTGTAGTTCCATTAAAACACACACACACACACACTTTTAAAAATGAAACTTATAAAATAATATATAGCCCTATGGCTTTTCAGACATGCTTAGTGTTAACCCCTTTCCTCCCAAATTAAAGTCCTCTGTTTTCCTGTCACCCCATTCATGTTCATGGGGCTTACCTCCTACTATTTCCCTTTCTAGAGCTCCTTTTCTCTCCCTGTCTCCCGTCCTCCGCCACAGTCCTTTTCTGCTTTCCCAACTTCTATGGATATTTCAAGTTATATACTCAAATTCAGAGCTAGAATCCACAAATAAGAGATGGTCTATGGATCCTTTTTCTGGGTTTGGGTTGCCTCACTCAGCATAACAACTTTCAGTTTCATACATTTACCTGAAAAGTTCAGGATTTTATTAAGAAGCCTATTGGTCAGTAATGGACTGTGGCCATGGCTACATCACCTTCCTGGTTCTATTCTATCTATTCTACAAGGGCAAAGGGAGCTAACTTAAGTGCAGGCACTGTGCATCCAGGAAACAATTACTTTACTCTTGGTTTTGTGTCCTCCTCAGAAATACAGCCACAATCTAAGAATGCAACAGCTCTTAGATTCATGCAATCCATTCCCAGACTGAAGAATGTCTAGCCCTTTGTGTTTCTGGGAAATGTCGAGGTACGGTTTATGCACAAGGACTATGTTCTACATCAGGCTTTCTTCAAACAGACTCTTTAACTGAGTTCTTTGGAACTCCCACTAACTGACAGGGGGAGCTTGGGTCCTTTGGTGATCCGACTGTTGTCTAAGACACTCACCTGAAAAGGCAGCAGTTTCTGGAAGCAATGGAGGAATCTGCCAGAATGAACTACTCTGATAATGCTGTGTTAATAGCCACTATGTTGAGTGAGCAAGCGAGCGAGGGTTTCTGGTTAGGGAGGTGTTCTGAGGAGACCCCTCTGTCTGCCCCACGCCTGCAATGTCTTTTATGGTGTGGAAAGTTAGTATGGTTAGTGTTGGTTGGGGATGGGTGTCTGTACAGCTTGGTTGACATTCTGGCTGGTGGTGCTTATACGAAGGGAAGAATTCAGTATTGTTGAGAAGGGAAGAGATTTCACAGAGGCAAAGTCCAAATTCCCATTTCAGAATTGTTGCCAGATTTGCTCCTTAACCTTGGTCCAGGTTCATTCAGAATCTCAGTGCTTCCCCTTAGCTGCACATTTGATTTAAATCACCAGCCCTTCTTGGCTAGTGCAATGACACCTTCAGAAATATATTGGTCTTTTTGCAGCTCAGCTTGGTTAGCAAAGTATACAAATTTTCCAAATAACCAATAGCTCTTTTAATGTTGAAAACTTTACATTATGCCCCTATTATGCTAATGCCAAAATAAAAGCTCTGTAGCTTGTGGTTTATGTTGTATTAAAGGAAGTTGCATGAACAGATATTTCACTACTACCTTGTTTTCAATCCTGTATTTTGGCAAATATAAATGACATTTTCCTCTTCATTAGGGAAAACAAAGTATTGTTATTTTGCTTGTGCAAGTTATGTTCCTTAGGCAGTTGACAATTGCTATAGGCAAGAAGCTATAAAGGATATTAACCTGTAAGATATTTATATTTTAGATTTGCATGGTGATTACTTGCAGTATCTTATCAGTTTTCTTTTAATATTTTCTGAAAACTTGCATTAAAACAGTTGGATTCAAATCAATTATAAATATTGGCATTTATGTGAAATTCCACTGAAAATGAACCAGTCCTAACCCTGATGTCCTAACCCTTGCATTCCAGGGCCTCTGACTTCTCACAGATGTGTGTTTTCAGCTGTCCATTAGATATCATCCAGGCAGAATGAATGGCTTCCTTACTGCTTCTGCTTCTCCTCCTAAAGCTCCTGTCTTCGTTCTGGGTTTAACGACCCACCTGCTCTGCTTTCTCAGAAACCCCAGCATCTTCCTTGAGTTTCTCAATTTTATTCCTTTTACCTCCAAATTGTTGCCCAATCTGTATTCCCTCTGTATTATTGTCTCACATCCACCTTCCTGGCCTGCTGGCTCTCTGTCTTGTCATTTCTCTCTGTTCTACTTCTAGTCTATGATTGATGACTTATTGGCTTCCATATTCTCATTTTTCTTGGGATCACACAGCTAAACTTTTGCAGTCTAACTCCCATCTGTCCTGCAGGCTTCTCTGTCTGCCTATTTATTCTGTGGCTTGCATTTCAGCCTCGTAAACTCGCCATTTCCTGTCTCTCCTCTACTCCCACTGTACCATCCTATTTTCACAGGTGACTGACACAGCCTATGGCCTCCTCACCCATACTTACTGAGTAGTCAGTCACCTCACCTTTGGACTTTTCTCTGGGTCTCCTGTTATCACTACCTTTGTCCTGCTTGGCTACAAAGTTGGGTGGTTCCTTCAAACCTACTCCCTTCCTTGTTGGCTGGTTTGCTAGAGCAGCACACAGAATACAGGAGGGATTTTTCTTATTATCACTAGCTCATTAAGAAGGGAGGGCCAAATGAAGAGCTACTTAGGACACAGGATGGCCCAAGTGACACAGAGCCTCCATACCCTCTCTGGGCCTGCCACTCACTCAACCAGCTTTCAGCATGTTCAACCCTCTCTGAAGCCTGTTGCTTAAGGGACTTCATAAAGGTATCATTGTATTGAACATATTAAATCTTAAGCCCTCAGTAAATGAACCTGAATTCCAGCTCTGTCCCTCCGTAGAGACTAGGAGAGAGGGTCTGAAAACCCCAGCTTTGTTAAGGTGGCTTGGCTTTTCTGGTCATCAGTCTGCATCCTGCATCCCCCAGGCTTCCCCACCATCATATGAGAGTCTTTATTGCTATGGAGATCCCAAGGGTTTTAAAAGCTGTGTTCAAAAAACTAGGGATGAAAACCAATTTTATTTTTTTATTCTAACATACCTATGCTTTATTGTAATTTGCCCCATGCTTCCCATTAGCCACTGCTGTGCACATCCAAAGGGGAAGGATAGTTTTTAGTCAGCTTTTTATTTAATGAGTTAATATTCCCTGGCATATAACACAGATTTTTCTATACCAGTTTTTGGTAGTACATGATCATGTCTTGGTGTATATACTCTAACTATTGAATTCCAGTCTCCCAGTTTTGAAAGCACAGATTCAGACAGGTATGAGACGATTCAGACATGGTAGCCAAAAGAGCCATCAAAAATTATTGATAAGCCAATGGTTATGCTTGTGTGTAAAGTGTGTGTAATAACTAAATCAATAAACCTTAAATTACTGTTCACCTGCCTCATACACAAAATCTGATTACTCTGAATTGTAGCCTAATTAAATTGGGCACATAGTAAATACTGTGCATATTAATACGTTTAAAATAATGTGGTATTTTTTTGCAAGGGCATATGAGATTGGGTTCCTTTCAGATTCGTTTTGTCAGCATTCACTTGGGTGCTTTTCCTATATACATTTCTTCTCCTCCGTTTGGAGACAGGACCTCACTATGTTTCAGAGGCTGGCTTGGAACCTGCTGGACTGCCCAGGTTACTCATACTCATGATGTTTCTGCCTCTACCTGCCCAGCACTGGGAATACAAACATGCATGATCTATAAGCATGTGCACAGCAAAACAATCTATAAACAATCTATAGACTCTTCCTCCATTAGCAAGAGTTCTTAAGAATAGGAAAATCTGTTTATTTTTTTTTAAAGTCCAAAGGCAGAGAAATAGCCAGGATTGTCAATGTTTTAAGATCAACACCTAAAGCAATGATGTATTTAATAGATTTAAAATTAGAAATTTTTTTCAGTGTTTTTTTTTCCTTGTACGAGGGGTATTGTTTTGTTTTTGCTTTCTAAAAATATCTTTACATTTTAATTAAATCTCTTTTTAATCTTTTTAATAAAAACAGTTATTATTTTTAAACCCTACATGGGGATAATTGTTATTATCTATTAATGTTTATAGACAAAGTATAAATGCTTTTCCTTTTTCTTCTAGATTCTTTACAGAGTTGGAAGCAAGACATCAGAATAACATCTTCATAGATGACATAAGTGACATTGTAGAAAAGCACACAACATCCACATTTGATCCCTATGTGAAATACTGCACCAATGAAGTCTACCAACAGAGGACGCTGCAGAAGTTGTTGTAAGCAGGGTTGTCCTTTGCCCCAATTTTCATCATCTAACTCACTTTTGATTAGAGCTCATTGATAAAGATTAGTTGGTCACGGACATAGGCATGCCTCCTAGAAGACAGTTTCCTCTTTGGGAGGTGGGTTACTTTTCGAGTGAAGATGTTGGTTCTGGAGAGTTTTCTCTCTAAAGCATTTAGAAAATTAAAATTAAAGTATGTTGAAGTTGTTGTTGGCCCCCCTGCCACACACACCCCTTTCCTCCTCTCAGTTATTCTGAGCCTTGACTCATCACTCAGGCTCCCACTTTTGGAAGCCAGTAACTGGCCATTAAGCAGTTTGCCAGAGTGCAAGAGGGGGGTTCTTAAGTGGACCAAAGCCAGACACTAGTTTCCACGATTTCCCTTACTTCTGTAAGCTGTTTATAGGAACTGCAGGATCTCCTTTCCCCCTCCCTGCATAGACAGGGATGAATTGCTGTCCGAGAGTTTAAAAGAACAGAAGAAAAAGACAAGCTTGAAGATTTTAATTTTGCCACAAGAAGTAGTCAAGCATTCTGTTTCTCTCCACACTTTTTGCCTTTGTAGATTATTGAGAGTTTGGATGTGAGGTACAGGCCTGTCTTTGTCTTTGAAAGAATTAAGAAGTGTTGAGCACTTTATATACTGATTTATTTTTATAGGCCCCAGTTGTCATAAGTAGCTAATTTATACTGTAGTTCTCCACCATAAACCCAGTTTGGGACTTCCTGGCTATTGTTATTCTCAGTCTTTTCTTTCCTTGGAGAAGTGACATTTATGGAGGCTCTTCTGGTCACTTCAGGCTGGGTGTGAGGTCTTTGAAGAGGGGATGTTGACAGTGTGCCAGGAGAATATGAACCTAGAGACTGAAACACCAAGATTAACAAATGGGAGAGGAAGGCTGGAAACCTTGCCCACCTGGGTTTCATATGGCAAAACAGCATGGCTGAGAACTGTCTTCAGGTACAAACTTGGAAGAAGCCGGTAGAAAGCCTTTCCCTCAAGACAGGACCTGCAATCAGGTCCCCTCTGAACCCAGATCCCTGGCTCAGCACTTCTAAGCATGTTACCCAGGTACTCTGGACCTACCTGTTTGCCGTTTGGCTCCTTGCCAACCTCTGTTTCAAAAAGCATTACTCCCTGTCTTACTCTTCCCAACCCCCATTCTCCAGCTGAGATTTTCAATGCCTACCCCCGATCTTGGTCTCCCCACAACATCTCCATCTCATGCTTCATGAGTAGGATGGAAACACCCAGCGGCCACCTCCCAGTTAGGCTTGTCATGTGCAAAACTGCACATGTGCAGTACTTTGAGATTTCGGGGCTGCTAAGTCTGTTCTGGTGGCTTCTTAGTGATTTCAGGGTATTTAGCCCAATACCTGGCTTCTACCCACTTGATGCCAAAAGTGTCTCCAGATTTTGCAGAACGTCCCAGAGAGAAAAAAATCACACTTTTCACTTTCCCTTGCCCCATACCCCACTAGGGCCCTGTAACTGAACGTACAGGTTCATGCTTGAAAGCAAAACCATGAATTCGAGAGAACACTGCTTTTCATTATGTTTTGCAGGAATTAGAAAAAAATAAAAGTGAATACTTACTGCCATGTATTATGTGGTTTTCAAAAATAGATTTTGTCTGGATTACCTTAATCAAACCATCATGGGAGCTTTTACATGGAAATTAGCATTTGTGCTTTTAGGGACATTGAAGATTAGAGCAGTGACTTTCTACTTCAGCTGCAGGTTCAAACCCCCCAGAAATCCTCAAAGCCTAAGCAACAAAGATTCTCAAGTTCATCACAGACTTCTTAACCAAAACTCCCAGGGTATGGGAGGAGCCTGGGCCTGTGTGATTTAAATATATAACTTACATGAACTTTGTTTTGAATTTTCTAAAAACCCGTTTTAAACTGTTCAGGAGTGGGGTGGGGGCAGCGTGCATGCCTTTAATTCCAACACTCGAAGGCAAAGATAGGCGGATCTCTGTGAGTTCAAGCCAGACTAGTCTACAGAGCAAGGCTACACAGAGAAACCCTATCTGGGCAGAGTGGGGAGGGTGCACAAGACCAAACAAGAAAAAAAAAAACCTGCCAAGAAAAGGATATCTAAATCTTCCCAGTGACAAAATGAAAACAAGACATTTCTGTGCAATTTCCCTAATTTGGTATTCTGTATGTTTCACACTTTTATTTTTAGTAGCCTTGAATCACATCATCTAACTTTCAAATGATATGATTTTACAAAATGATAATCATGACCGCTGTCCTGCTTTCTGGTTCTGAGGGGCCCGGTGGCTGTCATGAGGACTGCTGCAGACCTCTGCAGGAGCGAAGTGAGGGAAAGATAGGTGGGACTGAGAGTCAGAAAACTTCAGTTTGACTTCATTCTGTTATTGTTGTTGAGTGTGTGGCAAGTCAAGAGCCTTTGCAAGCTCCGTTCTCTTAGAACCTCCACCTCATGCCCCTTTAGGGTTCTCTGAACAGCTCCATTAAAATTGTGTATGGGGTACCTGGCTACACTAATAGATATATGCCGGGATCATGGCCCTTTTCAACCCAGTAAGACAGGAAGAGAGATATTCTGGCATATGTGGCCGAAAGGTTTCCTGGCTAGACATACCTGTAATTCTAGGACTCAGGAAGATTGCAAGCTGAAAGCCGGCCTGGAGAACATCCCTCTCCAGAAAACTAAAACCCCCAAACAATGAAGCAAAAACACACCAAAGAGTTTTCTTTGTTAGAAAGAAGATCTTTGGAAAGGTCAAAATAACCTTAATAATCTTATCATCAATTAATTACTATTTATTTGTTATTTATGAATTATTAATTATAACAACAAATATTATTCATTAATATTGTTAATTATGATATAATTTATGATAATTAACAATTAGTTGTTAATATTACTCATTGGTTAATTATTAGTTAATAATCTAATTATCGATAATCTTATTACTAATATTTTTCTTGGTTCTGCCCAGATCAGGGCAGTGGTATGAAGGATGATTATTGTATTGATGGTGTGTGTTTGTATATGATCGAGTATGAAGATCCGATTTGTTAATTCCAACTCTTTATTGACATGTTCTTCATGAGCATACTATGTCCTCGCCTTTACATCTCACTTTTACAAATGCCTCGTGCATAGGTTTTGTTTTATAAATATTGTTTTAGAGCACTGCGGCTTACGTTTACCATTAAAAATAAAAGACAGAAAAGACACCTGTGTTTCCCAGTGTATTATGGTGTATGTTGGCTTATTTACTGACGAGTCATTGGTAATGTGGGAACTGACCTCAGTATTCGGTAACAGGTTTCTATTTGCTTTCAAGCTTGCAAAGGGAGTATTTTGAAGTTTCTCTCTGCTTTGTCTCCCCTGCAGAGCCACCAACCCCTCCTTTAAGGAAGTGTTGTCACGGATTGAATCCCATGAAGACTGCAGGAACCTACCTATGATATCTTTTCTCATTCTCCCCATGCAGAGGGTGACTCGCCTTCCCCTGCTGATGGATGTAAGGCATGGTTTGGTGGCTTTGTTTTCTGAATATCAGCCACTATAAAATCCGATTAATTACTGTTATTCTGCTTAAATGGATGCGTACCTCTTTTATAAATCCCCTTAACTGAGAAGATGTTGTCCAGTGGCAAAGTCTGTCCTGTTTGAGATTGCTGGAGTTTATCTTTAATCTATACTTGTGTGGTCACTCTGGAAAAACTTGCTTACATCACCCACTTTTTTTGGAATGGGACTTATACTAGCTTCTTAGAGTCAAGATGCTTGGATTTTTGTCTGAGTCACTAAGCATGAGACCTCAAACAAGTCACTTTGTTTTAGTTCCCTTCCATCTTGAATGTTCCAAGATGATTTGGGCCCAGTTTCACTTGGAAATGGGAATCCTGTAGTTTGTGCCATGCATTGTGTAAAGGGGGTTAAAATCTCAGCCTCCTTTTGGTATTAGGTAACCATGATAATGGAAGCAAGAGTTTGACTTTGAAAAATGACAAGATGTGCTGAAGGAAGGGGACAAATACCATCTGTCTTGTGATAGGCCCTGCTTAGCCAGTGGGCAGACAGCATCTTCTGATCTAATTAGGACAGACTGTCACAGATGTACTTTAAAACTGGGTCGTTATGTTGGCAGGGTATCAGTTTTTATGTATTTGATTTTACAGACCAAAGCACAGGGTAAAAATTTATCAGAGATACATAATTGGGTAAAGTTGCAAAAGTATACTCCATTTTCTGTATTGTACTGCAAATGCTGAGATGCTCTCAGACAGCAGCGAGATTTCGAAGGACAGCGAAGCATGTGATGATCGTCATTTTCTTACTCTGTCACAGCTGTATCACAGCCTTATCAGTTACTTCAGAGCTATAATTCATAACCTCTTCCTTTCTCCTCTCTTAGTCACCCCAGTCTACTGTGCTTACTTCCTCCCTGTCCCCCCACTCCTCCCCATCTCTTGTCGTTTAGGAAAGTATTTCCTGCATAAACATAGTCACAGCTGGTTAATGATGGGGACACATCCTGAGAAATGCATGGCTCACAGTGCCAGTTCCGTGTAGTGTCACTTAGCTTATTTGTACTAATCCAAGCTAAGCATCTCTAGAAGAAATAATCTTGGAAGTCTTATATGTGGTCCATCAGTGGCCCAATGAGTAACTTGATGTTTTGAGAAATTCAATTGATTATTTTTTTAAAGATCAGTATTTATCTTATCTGAAGATAGAATTCATTAATAATTAATTACCCAAAGCCAAATTTGGAGATAATTGGTTAAACAGAATAGTAATCCTATTTCTAATACCCTAGACTGCACAGTGCTTGGTATTTACGGCATGGTTACATAGTGGGTTTTTATGCTTTTGTGTCACAGCCTGTTGGGACATTTTGAGTGAAGCTGTAGCCAGTCTTCTCAATTAATGTATACATATAACTTTATGTAAAATTTTATTATACAGTTTTCAGTGAAGGATATTTGTTCTCATGGAAATAACCCAATATTCTTCATATTGCTTTTATAGCATTAAAGGAGAAAACCTGATTTTGGAATCATGAGCAGAGTTTTAAAAGTGCAATAGAACAGTTATATATATATATATATATATATATATACACACACACACACACACACACATTAGATGTATATTTGGCTCATAATGAGGTTAGATATTCTTTCTAGAAACCCTGCTAATTTATTTGTATATATGAACTGGTTATAGTATAAATGCATTGCTTATAGCAGGGCAAAAATTTGAGGGGAGCATCATTACTATTACCCCACATATGATGCACTCCACGTTCGTCTCGCGTGGCAGTCCCGCTGCAGACTTCCAGATTTACACACTGCACTCATTTGTAGTTAGGGCACAGTGGCCTGCTACTTACCAACCTTATTCTGCCCCTGCCTGATGACTGGTGCCCTCATCTGTTCCCCATAGGTGAGAAACCAAGCAGAATCAAATGTGTTTCAAGCTCTATTACATTTCACCTCACTAGGAAATTTACTTAAATTTGTTAAGGGAATGGACACTTTTAAGACAATTAGACAGATCCCTTGAGCTTTCAAAGTTACATGTACAAGCTGAGCGTTCCTTACTAAGAATGCCTGCAGTGAGGTGTGTTTTACATTTTGAATAACTTTGGAATAGTTTCATATATATAATGAGGTGCCATGGGAAAGGAGCCCAAGCCTAAACATAAAATTCGGTTGTTTTCCAGGCATACCTTCTATGCATACTCTAAAGACAGTTATATGTATCTAATTATTTTGTGCATGAAACATTTCCTTGGTGTGGAGTTTTCCATTTGGGGTTTGGTTCTTTGTAGTTTTAAACATTTAGGATTTCACATTTTTATATTTTAGACTTTCATAGTTCAGCTTACCTCTAATTGATCGTCAGAGTAACTTCTCTTTCGATGGGAGCCACCAGTGTACTTGGCATTTAGATAAGATGTGTAGATCACTTACCATTTAACTCTTGGAACAGGGCTGGGGCGGTGGCTCTGTAGAGTGCCTGTTCAGCAGGGGTGAGGCCAGGTTGGATCCCTAAACAAAGAAAATAATAAAAACAAATAAACAAAACAACAAAAACCAAGACAAGCACCAGCCTCTTGGAATAGCCTGTGTTATATCTGGTATCCCTGCAGTTTTGAAGAGGAGGAAAGTGGCACCATCTACAGCCAGTCTCTTGCCCATGGTCAAATATCTAGCATAAGGCAGGTCTGAGATTTGTCAGCCAACCAACTGACCTCTGAAGCTTTCCCTGTTATTTAGCTGGATTACCTTAGGCTCTACGTGGTTAAGGAATATTTCCTTGTTTTGTTAGTTGCATTTTAATATCCTTATTTCTAATATTGTGCCCAGAAAAAAAAATGCTTTTTATGAACAAAAGGAAATGGCTAAATAGTAATTTATTTTTTTTCATATGATATATCAATTGATTTTGCTTCTTTTTACTTCTCCTTAGACTATCTGTCAAAAAACACCTAAGGACTCTCCAAAGTATGAAGTCTGCAAAAGGGCCTTAAAGGAAGTAAGCAAGGTAACTGTGTTTCATGGTAACAGTAAACTGTGTAAAAAGCTGGGAAGAGTCTAGCAGGTCTGTGCTCGCTATATAAGACTGAGATATCTGCAGCCGTATTCAACATAAATTTTGTATGTTGTCTGCTTTCAGACAGGTTTATGTGCCCATACGTATCTCAATATTTGTTTGTTCTCTCACCCAACAAATGTTTATTGAGTATCAGCTACTATATGAGGAACAGTGCTGGCCTCTAAATATTTGCTGACAAGGCAGGTGTGGTTATTGTATTCATGGTATGTGCAAAATAAATAAAAAGGCATACATTAAATAGAATTACAGTGAAGAGTGATGAGCGATGTGGGAGGGGAATTCAGTGATGTTTTAACTGAGATCTGCAAGAATAGCTATGAACCACGGGATGAATAGAGTGCCTTGGGTGTGGAAAGATCCAAATACAAGTGTTGGAGAATTTGAAGAACTCATTGGTAGCTTTAGCCTCATTGTTTTACTCATCTTTAAAAGCCAGTTTGCAAAGTTTATGGTCATACTAAGTATTCATCAAAGGCCCATGATCCCACTTATTTGCACATAATCCAGTATTTTTAATTGAACAGATCTTCCTTTAGCTGGGTGTTGCTGAAGAATTACTATGGCTTCCCTCTTCCAACATCTCTTTGTGGTCCCATGGTTTACATGTGACACTGCTTAGATTTTTGCCTTTAGAGTTGGTAGTCTTCCTGCCTCCTGCTGCTCTGTTCTGGAAGAGAGAAGGAGCTGGAGCTTGCCCTGAGGTAGAGTTGGGGTTCTCATAGGTAAAGATGGGGCTAGGCTGAAGACAAGAGCAGGATAGAGACCTAAAATGTGTGATGAAACCTTGGTGGAGGGTACGAGCCACAAAGGAAACACATCTCTGAAAATCTTCCGAGTTCTTCCCCGACCCCCAACTGCGTCGGTCACTCCTGGTTGCACAATCCATATCTGGGCAGAGTGTTCCTCTTGGGTAGAACTGTGTGTTCTCTACCTAACAGAAATGGGTCCCGGGAACTTCTGGAGTGTAGATGATTCTTGGAGAGACCTGAAATTGAAAATGTGATTTCTTGGGGGAGAATGGGCCATATAAAGTAAAAAAGTGAGGCTTCTCTTCAGATTTAACTTTCCTCGTGTTGTGTTCCCAGTTGGTACGACTGTGCAATGAAGGAGCCCGGAAGATGGAGAGGACGGAGATGATGTACACAATTAATTCCCAGCTGGAGTTTAAAATTAAGGTAGCCTTCTGTTTGTGTTTATTTTATTACTGCTGCCTAAATCTTATCTAAATGGATAAAGTTGAGGCCAACAAAGTAAATTGGAATTAGCTTTTCAAAGAAAGATTATAAATTGAGAAGAGAAGCTGACAGAGGACTCCTCCAATGCCTAGGAGAGTCTCTAGGCTTCTCTCCCGGCCATGAAGGTATGACCTTCTCCAGGAAGCCACCAGAGAGTTAAAGTGACTGAAGGTGATAGTTGATAAAGGAGAGTAGTCTTCAAGCATTGTTGGTTCAGATCCAGGGCTGAAGTACAAAGCCTTGTGCTCCCGGCCCTTGCAGCTCCCAGGGACCTAACCTGACACTTGTGTTTTTCTGTAGCAATTCCTAAGCGCACTGGTCAGAGCTATCTTGAGCAATCTTTCTCTGTTGACCTCACAGGGCTGTTCCTGTTAGATAATTTTGTGGTTCAGATTTAAGGGGCTGGAAGCTCCATGGCCTCCCTTACAAGCCAGTTTGGAAAGCTTGTGTTTAGCCATCATCTTTCATCTTCCTTGCTGAATTCATAGCTAGCTGACGGACAACCTTCTTATAAAAGCCCCTTTTAAAGCTGGAAAACCATGAAATCCTTTCTTGCTTCTTCATTTCCTCCTTAATATCCTCAATTTCCTTTAGCTATTTTTAATCATTCTTCACTTAACAGGATGACATCTGCTGTGCCGTATTACTGTGCCTGTGTTCTACGTATCTAGGAACTTTTGCTTATTTTGTGGATATATGTTTTTAAATGAAGTTTTTGGCAATATGCATTTCTAGTAATGCATTTTTTTTGAAAAAGGGAAGAACTCTAAGGGGTACAAATTATTCTGTGGTTTTGAGAGCTTTCCAGTTGGTTTGAACAAAGCTGAATAAAGAAAAGGTAGTATGTAATTCCTTGGATGCAGCCTTTTCTGGAAGATTAGGAGGGTTCCTGAGAAGGACTCCATTTTCATAGCCAGACAGTGGCATGAGGTTTTCAAAGATGTATTTACACAGTGCAAGCTCCATAAACTTAAAAACAGGTCCTCTTGGGAATATGGCTCTTTAGATTTCTTCTTTTTTTCTTCAAAAGTCCTTTTGTAGTTCATAAAGGGAATATTGACTTTTAGACTTGTCCCCTGGTACCTGTAGATGTCAGTCGATTTCCATATTGTCTATGTTCTACTTTGAGATACTTATAACACCTGATAGATTTCATCACTAAGTTTTTCAATTTTAAGTGACTCCAGTTTTCTTTTATAGTTCAGAGTTAATAGAAAACTCATAATTTTGTTGCCCAATAACATATTTTTTGTGGCTTCAGTTTTGTATCGACAAGTGAATAAGTGTTTGATGTTGAAAAATAAATGGTATTTTGTCTTGGAGAATGTGCCACCTCCAGTTGCATTTTAACATTATTTGCCTGTAAAACAATGATGCTTATCAAAAGATTATAATGTCTTGTTGGCCTTCCCTTGGATGTGAGCACTGAGTTTTTCTTTCTTTCTAGCCCTTCCCCCTCGTCTCCTCATCACGGTGGTTGGTGAAAAGAGGGGAGCTGACAGCCTACGTGCAAGACACGGTGCTGTTCTCAAAGAGGATGTCCAAGCAGCAAGTCTACTTCTTCCTCTTCAATGACGTGCTCATTATCACTAAGAAGAAGAGGTGAGCAACCAACGAGTGTTGCTGGTTAGGGCACCATCCTTCTAAAGCCTGGGGGTTCCTGAGCGTTGAATCATAATCACAGCTGGCTTTCACTGTCTCTAAATGCAAGCCTAGTTAAGTCTGGATTATGAAGCTCGAGATCCCAGGCACCCTTGAGTGAGCTTTCACAGAGTCTAAACCAGCACTCTGAGCATCTGACACACCCACAACACTCCGGGCTCCCCCCACAGCTAGGGAGGCCGCACTGTATTCCAACAGCAGTTTTCAAACTTCTTCAGATACGGCTTTTGTACAAATCAAAACAGATGGTTAAGGAGATGCTAGGGGCAACTCCGGTACGCCTTGTGACTTAATGTAAAAGATGTCTGGAGTGGTTATGCACCTAGGTGTGCCCATAAACGGCCAGGTGTTGAGCATGCTCCCTCCGTGTGGGGAATGAGGCACCTCAGTGGATGGTAAAGTGTTTTTCTCCTTCTGCCTTTCTGCTTTGCATTTCCATTCTTCTTGAGATGACCAGGAGGAATACCATAAAGCCTTATCTTTACAGTTTTTGTTATCTCTAACTGTTCTTAGGACACACAGACACACACACACCTACAACACTCCTTACCTCTGCTTTTCTACAGCGAACATTCTCTATCACATGTATTACATGATGAGATTGCTCAGTACATATAGGGATACAAAGCAACTTCCTGTTGGTATAAGATAAATTTCACATCTTTGCTAGACTGTGGAGTGGAAATAAAAATGGGAAACTGTGGGCCATTTCCATGCATGAAGGGAAATGGATGAATTGATGTCATAGGATGGAATGAGTAGTTCAGAGGGTAAAATGTTAGCAGTAGAAATAGGGTTTATGAAAATCTTAAATAAATGTCCAAATTCATCCTGGGAGATTTATTCTAATACTAGTTCTGAGTTGCTGACTATGTAGACTGGTAAGTCAACCTAAAAACAAAACAGAGAATGAACTGCTTTTTAGTCAGATAGTGTTATGAATTGTTCAGTTGTGTACCTATGACAGGAGAACAGAAAGTTTGGTGGTCTACCCCGAAAGTAACTGGAGGAGGAAAGGGTTTATTTTATCTTACATTTCAACAGACTAGTTTATCTCGGAGAAAAGACAGGGCGGGAACCAGGAGGCAGGAACTGATGCAGAGGCCATGGAAGAGTACTGCTTACTGGCTAGTCCATGGCTTCCTTTTACCACCCAGCATCACTGTCCACTGTGGAAGGGACCCAGCATCAACCATTAATCAAGAAGGTGCTGCACAGATTTGCCTACAGGCCGGTGTGCTGGAGGCATTTGCTTAGTTGACGTTCCCTCTTCCCAAAGGTCTAGTGAGCAGGGCATCTTTTCCTGACTTTCATACCGGTGTTTTTCTTGGAGTTGTTGGGATCTTAGGCAGTTTCTCTACTTAACCCAGGCTAGCCTTAAGCTCACTATGTAGCCAGGCTAGCCTCTGTCAATCACTCCTGACTTGGCTTCTTCAATGCTGGGATCACACTGTGTGCCACCATGCTTGGCATTCAATATCGATTAAGTTTTAGGGAGCCCAACTATCTGTGCCGCTCTGGTGCCAGTGCTCTCGATTGCTAACATCTGACAGCTGACCCAAGGGTTTAACTCATCTTTTGAGTTGAATGACGGAATAAAAATCGACAGTGCCATGTCAGTTTTAAATATCAGGGGTATTTTTTTTTTTTTTTTTTTTTTACTATATTGACTGGCAACTTGATGAAAGTTATCATCTTTAGAGGTAGTTCCAAAACCAGGATAATACAGTTTTTAGTCTTGAAACTTGCACAGAATAGTCAATAAATACAGAATTAAGGCAAATGGCATCTCACTTAGCAGCTGATTTTTCTCTTCAGTAAGCTTTGCCATCATGTTTCATGTTGATCTGGCTCTGCCAAATTCATGTGCTCAAGCATTTTTGAAATTGTAATCTTAATGACAGGAAATATATATATATATATATATATATATATATATATATATATATTCCCAATAAAGAGGGCAACCTGAGAACCTAATTAACTGATATTTTCTTGCCCTGTCAATAGGTTCATCATCTCTCTAAGGTCCTCTCCAGTGACAAAATGTCATTAGAAATTCTGCGTGGTCATGACGGGAGTCTGTGAGAAAGAGGGCTGGTAAACAGGCTGGGTGTGAAATGTACAGTATGTACTGCTATATTTACACAGTAGCTTCAAGGAGGGAACTGCAGATGCTTTGCATGCCAAAGACAGCAGAGAACAAGAGATAACCACTTTGAGTCAGGCAGTAATTCAGACATGGCTAGGAGGGAGAGATAAGGCATCTTCATCTCCGCCAGCTCTCTGGGGCTCATCCACCCACTGACTGAAATTACAAGGCTTAGGCGGGGGTTTAGCTCCTGACTCTCCGCTAGTTTTCCGAATAGGCGGCTTCCTTTCTAGCTACTGAAGATAGCTCCACAGGAGGACCGTTTGTTATTCTCGCTCCTCCAATCCAGACTAGCAGGTGCTGTGTACCAGGCCCATTTCCTACTTTGCTGAGTGTGTGGCCCTTCAGCATACAGTGGGTGCTTGTAGAACAGTTTGCTGCAACCCATGGGCCAGTCTTCAAAGACAGTGCTTTTCCTTTTCTTTTCTTTTCTTTTCTTTTCTTTTCTTTTCTTTTCTTTTCTTTTCTTTTCTTCCTTTTCTTTCTTCTTTCTTTCTTTCTTTCTTTCTTTCTTTCTTTCTGTTTTTTTTCTTTTTACTTTTTTAGATTAGAAGATACTGTAAGAATTTTTATCTGGGATGCCTATTAGTCATTTTATTAATAGTTTATTCTGCCAAATTTCAAAGGGATCCATCTGATTTGACTACATTTGCTGAGAAAGTGAATCTCTGGTTTTTGAAGCTGTAACTGGAAGTTACCTGGGTCTCACGATATCTGGACCTCAGCGGTGTTGACATGTGCATCTCGTGTGGGGTACCTCTGTGATGGAGTGTTGAGCAAAATCTGTGGTGTCTACCCATTGTCTTGCTAACAGCACTCCTTCCCACTGTGAAAACAAAACCTTCTCCAGGTGCTGCCTAATGCCTCTCTGGGTGAGAGCCACTTCAGAACAACACCAGACCTTAAACCAGCTCTAATTTCCGAATAGCATTGGTGTGTGCATGGCTTGACACAGCAGTAATAGTACGATGGTATTATAAACATGATAGGTTACTAGGTAGTAGTGGATTAATATGTACTAACACATAGGAACTAATATGTGCCGATAATAACACACTAATAACACAGAAAACCCACAAACAGCCTTATGGAGTTAAGTATGATTGGTCCTATTTTTGAAATGCATAAACCAAATCTAAGACCTTAGTTGGTTAAGACTCTGAAAGTTTGGGAAATAGTAAATATAAGTTTCTTATCTTATATTTATTTAATGCCTTGTATATGCTTAGTTTTTCTACTAATTCTATGTGAATCTGAGAGCAGATGCTCTGTCCCTGAGCTGGTCTCCCATAACTGCGGTACCACAGTACGAGAAAGTGAGAGGCTTAGGAGTCCAGAGGCCCACCTGCCCCCCTCAAGCTCCCAATGACTCCAAGCATGCTTTCCAGGCTGCCTGTGTTTCCATGGGGCCTGCTTCTCGGCCATGTTCCTCTGTGTCTCTGGCTCCCCCACTTCTCTTCACTTAGTTGTTGGATGCAGAGCCTTCTTGATCCAGCATGCCTTGACTACATTCACAAAGGCTTTGTTTCTAAACAAGGCAACTTTCAAAGGGCCAGGAGTTTAGGACTCCATCACGCGTCTTTGCAGCATATAGTCCAACGCACTACCCTCCCTGGCCACTTACCATCACCTCACTTAAATACCGTTAAATGTGCAGTGAGGGGGTTGGAGAGATGGCTCAGTGGTTAAGAGCACTGGCTGCCCTTCCAGAGGTCCTGAGTTCAATTCCCAGCAACCACATGTGGCTCACAACCATCTGTAATGGAATCTGATTCCCTCTTCTGCTGTGCATGCAAACAGAGCACACACATATATATAAAATAAATAAATCTTTAAAAGAAATGTGCAGTGAGGTCCTACGGCAGTTCTGGGCCACATGTTGCATTAATTGGCCCCATTTTTTAATAGGCTTCAGAATGTTCTCATGGTCATGTGACTTGAACTTCTCTGGTGGTTTCACAGTTTACTGTCATATCTAGACCTTCTCTCTCCAATCTCTCCTCCTCCTGGGTCCACTCCTTTCTTTGTCAAAGGACCCTCTCTCTTCTAGGTACCATGGTAAGCCTCACAGATGACCTCACTGTCTGTGTTTGCTGAGCTCCCACATGCAGCTGGTCTGAAGCTCTCTAGCTTATGAAGTGCCTTCTCTTTCATCCGACCACCACCCTTATACCTTAATAAGATAGACCCAATGGCTTTCAGGCCTCTTCCCCTGCTGGCTCTTTACCTTTCACATTCAGAATACATTGTAAAAGATGAATCTATTTAGTTTACATCTACACAAAACCTACCATCTTATCTTACTTTTAGCACAAATGGTTTGCAAGGATCTCATCTCCTGGGACCTCCTCCTTTTTCCTTTGTACCCCTTTACTGTATTCCAGATACCAGGACCAGGACAGGTTTTACTCTCTCCTAGAATGCTTTCTCCTCACTTCAGGCCTTTTCTAGGCAATATTCTCATCTACTAGGTTTACATTAATCATTACCTCCATTGGAGTCTGTTTTCTGTCTCCCTGTGATCCAATGAGACTGGGCACTTTTTTTTTGCCATAACATTTAATGTCAACTATGAGCCTGTGTCTCATATTGACCTTCATGTCTTCAGTGTGTAGCCAGGCACTGTGATGTAAGAATGCTCATATAATGAGTATTAAGGATGAGCCAGTCAGACTGATGGTTATCTTAGTGAGTGTTCTATGGCTGTGAAGAGACACCGTGATCACAGAAACTTTAATAAAGGAAAACATTTAATTGGGGCTGGCTTACAGTTTCAGAGGTTTAGTCC